GCAAGCACACGTGCCCTATAGCAAAAACCTCTCCAAGAAAAAGGAAAAGAAAATCACAAAAAGAATTTACATTGTTCATGTAAATCATCCTAAGATAACCTAAGCCATTTATATAAAATTTTCCAAATTTTTAAATAATTATCAGGGGAACATGTACTCCTTCAGAGAATCAAAGGGGCAAAAAAAGAAAAAGTGGAAAAGCATATCCCAGTGGAGTATGGTCATGCTGAAATCCTTTCTCCTCCATTTTTCTCCATCCTATTTGGGCTTTTCCCCACACACATATGTGCACCCAGCATATTTTCCAAAGTTCCAGAGCCAGAACTTGAGTTGTGGTTTGCCATGTGGGATCCAGCTTATTTGAACAGCAGGCCATGGGGCTGGCCCCAATACCTTCAGATACTTACAAGTACAAAAGCATATCATACTGTCAAAGATGTAAAAGTAAGTATACATATATATATGGGCTATCTTAAAAATCATCCTCCTTTTCCATGCCAAAAATAGGATGGCCATCACTTCCACATTTCAAAAATTAAACTTACAAGCTGTAAAGTCTGTGAACTTCACTAAATTCAAGTTGAAACTGAATTTACATGAAGCTTATTGGATCTTTAATCTCAATGCCCAATGCACATACCCAGGAGTGTCAAGCACCTGGGAATCCACATGCATTTGTTTTTCCGGGATTTTGTAACAAAGTGTCACTGACTAACAGCTCAAACAAGAGAAATGGACTTTCTCTCAGTTCTGGAGGCTAAGGTCAAAGAGTGGGTAGGTTCGGTTTCTCCAGAGCCTTCTTTTCCTTGCCTGCAGATGGCCGCCTCCCCATACACCCACATGGTCTTTCCGCTGTCCATCCCTAGTTTCTTCCTCTTTTGGAAGGACACCAGTCATAGCAGATTGGAGCTCACTCATATGACCTCATTCAACCGTAATTACCTTTTTAAAGGCCCTCTCTCCAAACGCAGTCACATTCTATGCCACTGGCAGGGGGCAGGTTAGGAATTCAACACATGAATCTGCAGGGAACCACAATTCAGTCCATAAAACTCTGCTTGCTATGTGACACCAAGGCAATACTACAGTAAAACAGGATGACCACCCAGCTAGTTCCGTGTAGGCTTCAAGGCATTCCCCAATGTCCAAACGCTCCAGGCCCTTGACTAGAAGAAATGGTAAGGGAGGCATGGACACTCAGGAGAATTATGTTCATACACATAGATATCCATGAGGCTGAGAAAACAGAAGGCTCTTGGACTCAGAAATGAAAAAGATAAAAACTGGTATAGTCAACTGTTTTCAAAAATTTTCCTCATCTCTATCTGCTGACTTTGGCATTTACTCAATCTGGGTCTTCAATTAAAAAAAAAAAAAAACTGTACTGCCCCAGACCCATACTGGCCACAACTACTGAGGACGATACAAATATGGCCATTATGTAATGATTTTGCAGATTTTTCTTAAAGGAAGCTAAAAAAAATCATTAAAAGTACTTTCTAAATATTTCTAAAATTGATTTATAATAAAATTCAGCTGAACATGTGCATTTCTTACCCTACTTGGTATAATCTTATCAAAGAATTGCCTTACACAAAAACATTAGATTCCTAGTTTTACCATTCCCAAATATAGTCTAATTTCATCTTCCTGATGGCTCTGTGGTAGAGAAGGCAGAAAAAGATAAGGAAAATAAAACTCTGTAAGGTTAAACAACTTGCACAAGGTCACAAACTTAATAACTGAGCAGATGTGAATGAGAAGGCAGGTCTTCTGACGTCTAACTCAGCACTCTTTATTCTGGGACTTAATGACATTCAAAGTACTAAAGTGACAATCTTGCAAAAGTCACTTACATAGCACTACTGGGATGTAAAAGTCCATAAATAAAATTACATCCATTGAAATTCTGCAAATGACCACAAAGTGAATTTAATCCAAAGTAGAAATACTGATCAATTCTTCAATAAACATTCATAAGATAGCAATTATCCCAATGAAAATTTTAGAAGTGGTATTTTTGCCAGGACTTTAATTTTCTAGGCTAACTAATTGGATTAACACAATAAAAATTCAAACCAAACAAAATAATTCCCATAATTAATAATATGAAACAAAATTTAAACTTGCAACTGGATGACCTTATTGATCATCCTATGTATTTTCACTAGGCTATTTCCTTAGCTCACAACTAAAAATAAGGAAACTAAGTGAATCATTGGACAAGACTTTAAATGATCAGGTTAAAGAAACCAGGCTTATTTATCATGGAGAGAAAGCCAACTATCCAAACATCAACTACAGTAACAACCTGTTATACCAAGAACTTATCATGCAATGGGTAAAGTCTTTGGGAGTCATGTCTCACTCAACACTCTCAACAATTAAGTATTATTTCATACCGGTTTTACAAATGAAGACAGCAACAGTGAGGTTAAGCCATGTATCCAACAACCCACATCCAGAATATCCCAAAGCCACAACTGACACCCAGTCTGTCTGCTTCCAAAGCCTGTACTGCCTATCCTTGACTCTACTACCCTGACCCCAAGCACAGAGAGTAACAAGATAATGTTTATCATAAGTGAAAAAGGACCAAGAAATGGGTCCAAATAACAACAAAGGTAAATAAATTTTTAAAATAATAAAAACTGTTAAACATAAAATGAATCAATGAGGTTATGGAAATTTCTTCTGAGAAACTTAAGAACAGGAGCAAATTATCTTCATTCATCCATTCTTTTATGTAATCTTAGCTAACTGGGAGACTAAGGGAGAAGGATCATTATATGGAAAGACTCTGTGAAGTCAACTACTCTCTTTTCACCTCTGTCCTTTTCTTTTTCTCTCTCTCATTTAAGATAGGAGGGAATAAAGGCATATCTCTTATGAGCCAAAATTGTGTGGGCCAAATCTGTAACTTTTTGATAGGCTTTATCTGAGAAGAAAACATACCATTTAAAAAAAAAAATGAAGGAGAATTTTAAGGTACGTGAATTAAATCTTGATATTAAAGAAATGAAAAACAGTAAGTTGTAATACTTGAGAAATTTGTTCTCTCGATAGATAGAAAGATAGATAAAGATATTGAGCTTTAAGCATAATACAAAAATAGAGATTCAAGTTACAGGATTGTTGGGGATCAAAAAAATGATCCAAGGTAGACTTCAGAAGCAAAATTTCTCTCTAACATTCTCCTGCCCTCCCATCTCTTACCACTCATTTCCCCATGAGGCAAGCCATAAAAATAAGAATTTTACCCCCACACTGGGAGACTAAGGGAGAAGGATCATTATATGGAAAGACTCTGTGAAGTCAACTACTCTCTCTTTTCACCTCTGTCCTTTTCTTTTTCTCTCTCTCATTTAAGATAGGAGGGAATAAAGGCATATCTCTTATGAGCCAAAATTGTGTGGGCCAAATCTGTAACTTTTTGATAGGCTTTATCTGAGAAGAAAACATACCATTTAAAAAAAAAATGAAGGAGAATTTTAAGGTACGTGAATTAAATCTTGATATTAAAGAAATGAAAAACAGTAAGTTGTAATACTTGAGAAATTTGTTCTCTCGATAGATAGAAAGATAGATAAAGATATTGAGCTTTAAGCATAATACAAAAATAGAGATTCAAGTTACAGGATTGTTGGGGATCAAAAAAATGATCCAAGGTAGACTTCAGAAGCAAAATTTCTCTCTAACATTCTCCTGCCCTCCCATCTCTTACCACTCATTTCCCCATGAGGCAAGCCATAAAAATAAGAATTTTCCCCCCACAACTAGGCATAGAAAACCAGAATTCCTTTTCCCTAAAGCTAGCTATAAAACCTAAAAATATTTCTTTTTTCCTGCCTATCTCTATAAGAGCTGGTCATAAAGAAATTCTCTGGCCTACTTTGTCTGGTCCTAGAACACATGATTTTCATTCCAGAGGAGTTTTGCTCCCTACCTGGGAGGGAAGAATGCTGCACAGAACGACCGAGAACAATCTAAACAGGGCTTGCCAGCTTTCCCTCCACAGTCTGTCTCTATCATCTCATTCCCTTTTTATCTAATATCGTTGATACATGACTATGTCTACTTCACCAAACCTAAGCATTGGATCAGGTAGCTTCCCCTGTGTGTGTGTGTGTGTGTGTGTGTGTGTGTGTGTGAGAGAGAGAGAGAGAGAGAGAGAGAGAGCAAGAGAGAGACAACACTCTCAACAGGGACCTGACAGCCTTTAGCCAGCCTTGGATTATGGACAAGCATGTGCCTTGCACACTCAGGAAGGTCTCCAAACTTGCCTCATAGAGTAGGTGTGACAGGTGTGTCACCATCAGACTCCATAGCCTGTATCTTTAGCTCTTGAATCTGAAGGCGCCCATGTACATCAACACATGCTAAAATAAATCTCCATGCCTTTTATCATATTAGTCGGCCTATTGCCAGTAATCGGGAACCTCAGCGAGGAAGGGATTTTCTTTCCTCTCTACGTTAGCCAAAGAATCTGATGACCACCTACATCAGAGTATCTCTTCTGTAAGGACATGGAGTGATTTAGATCTCAGGTTTCAATACCAAGAAAACCTTCATTTCTCCTCAAACAGCTCATAAATTTTTATCAAATGAGCATCATAGACGTAAGAACTGATTATGTCTTTTCTATGGCTGTTAACATTTTTTTAATACAGTAATACTTTAATTCACCTGTATCTACCGTACTACACACACATAAGCAAATTAAAAGAGGTTTGTAGAAGTACATAGTACATAAAGTAAATGCAAATAACACAAGTGAGTGATGAAAGACCAGAGGCAGTGGTTCTTGCTTAAGTCCTATGGTTGAGGGCCCAAGAGTATTAGCAATACATATAGAAGAAACATGAAAATGATGAGACCTTTTAACAGGATTACATAAGGTTTTAGATAGGAAGGTCATTATAGAATATGATGTTAGTGACAATCCTATTCTTTTACATGAAGTATGTATTTAGTCACTCAAGGTATCAGCTAGTATGCTCTTCCAAGGTGATCCTTTTCCCCAGGGGCTAACTAGTAACCTCAAACCTCCAGAAATATAGCAAGCTGGGATAATATCCAGCAGGCCTAAGATCTTTGTAGATAAGGGGACATTTCCTTTTGGCCTTTGACTGCCTACATGGACATCTAAATAACTACAGGACAGAACATGTCGTGCTGTCTCGCCACCAGCATGCTGAAGTTGTCCTCTTGCTTGATGCAGGCTAGAAGCACTGATGGCAGCAGGATGCTTTGGTCATCAACCATTGCTGCGCCACTCACAGGGAAAACTATATACACAGAATCAGTCATGGTAGATATTTTGACCACAAAGGTGTGGCTATCAACAGACTGAGAGAAGACAGGAGGACATTTTCAGACATGAACTTTCTACAGCTCATCCCTAAGAACATGCAATTAACGCTGTGAGCCTCTTCTGAGAGGACCCTCAGCCCCTGCCAGGGTCCAACTTTGGAACTAAGGAGGAACTGGAGCAGGAAGAGAAGGAAGCCCAGGAACAGACACTTTGGTCATATTTATCTTTTTTTTGTTAAATGAATGAACACTTTTTTTTGTTTTTGTGACAGATTTTTGTTATAGGGCATGTACACTCACCAGAGAAACTGAGAGACACAGAGAGAGACAGAAAGTGAGAAATCATCCCCCAGGGGCATGGCCACACCATAGTCCCTTCTCCTCCATTCTCTGGGGATTTGGGGCACGCATTCAAACATGCCCAGACTGAGTTTTAAACCACTGAGTCAGGACTCAAACCGTGATCACCTATGTGGGAGACCAGAGACAAACCATTACACCATCTGCTGGTCCCTGAATGTCAGTTTTTGAGACAAAATTAAAAAAAAATGTTACAGAGAGCATCAATCTAACCCAAAAGTATGTGCTAATGTCTGTAGTTCACTAAAATGCTCTTATTAAGATAAAATTTTATTATTATATTATGCTGAACAAGTCCTGCTCTTGAGGCTAGAAATAAAACATAGAAATTTGTTAATTATGCACAATATTTTTGCATTGTTCTATATCTTGAGTCTATAGAGATTTATGTCCTTATGTAGTTTAAATTTAGTAAATATTGTATTATATGTAGACAGAAATAAGATATTTCCAAGGTTTGTTATATATACAACCTGCATGCTAAATTTTCAGAAAACTATACTTAATAACAAAAAAACAAAAACAAAAAAACAAACAAAAAAACAGGTAAATGTTTAGGAGAAAATAGAAATCTTGTTCACAGCAGGATCAGCAGATGGTGAAATGGTGATGGCAATGGACCCCCATGTAATCAACTACGGTTAGAGTCCAGGACCTGGTGGCTTAAAACACGCCGGGTGCATGTACATGTGTGCCCAAAATCCCAGGAGGAGAATGGAGAAGAAGATATTGCGGCATGGCCATCCCCCTGGGGGAAGAGAGTTCTTGTTTTTTGTCTCGCTGGTGAGTGCACGCTCTCTATAGTAAAAATCTCTCTTTAAGAAAATCTTATTCAGATCATTCACTCACTCGCCCTCAGTTCATACTATTGGGAATAAAAATACGTCATGACTTTTCCAACAACCTGGGATTTCATCAAAGCAAGATGTTTTCCGAAGACAACTATTTGAACAATTTAAAACCCGAGACAGTTTGGGCATGAAGCAACATATGAGGTAGCAGACATTTATTTTCTCTACTCCATTTCACTAACCAAGGCTCATAATACCCATTTTAAATATGTAATTATTTCTAAATAAACCAGTTGGTGAGAGGATTCACCCTATAATTGAATATTCGATTCAGTTGTTGAACATAAATAGTTCGCATGTTTTTGAGGTAGCAATCTTAAAAATTATAATGGTTTAGGAATTTCAAGAATAAAGTTTCTTGAATTTTTTTTAACAAACTGATAAGCAAAGAAAGAACACTTTTGTTCCTTCTAGCAATAACTACTGCAATTTCTTTTTATTTTTCATTTATATATAGCACCCTTTGGTCTAAAAAAAGGATTTAAAGTAGTTAATATATTTGCAGTTAGCAAATAATACTAAAAATTTGTTGATTCTACCATTTCATACATGAGAGTTTTTCTTTTGAGTTTATCTGAAAATTGGCCAGATGGGACATTACATTAAAAGTTACCCTATTGCTTTTATAATGAGTGAGTACCAGCTCAAAGAAATCTAAATTCAGACAGCTATCACCACCTTTTATTACTCATCTACCTGGCAACTCGAATAGCATTGTATTAAAATTATTCACCAACTTATTCACCAACTGTAACCCATTAGTGACACAAAATGGAACATTACTGATGAACTACAACTCCCAAAGGACACTGTTTTAGACTCTCCTGATGGTAAAAACACAATTAGGTATATCTGGAAAATACCTCAGAAAGTTGAACACAATGGACAACTGGGTTTTAATAATGTGAGTCCTTAATACCCCACCAGATGAAGAGGCTTTCTGAAATAGGGGCTATAAATGTTTGTCTTGTGTGGCTCACAGAGCTTTTGGTATTTTCTTTTTCAAAGATGGTGATCTGACTTGACACAAGTTAGAATTAACTCATTCATTCTGTGACTTCTCACATCTAATGAGTACTTGTCTAATTCCTGATCTCTGAAGACTGTAATTAATTAGGATAAATTAAAATGTCCCTTGTAAAAAAATGACAATTTTTCAAAAATTGCATGCCTTAAAATAAACTGGATCCAATAGAACTGTGGCTGTATACTATGCCTGAACATTTATAAACCCACACAATGATTTTAAAAAGAAAAAATAAAGCCATTCCTCTATAGAGAAATTGGGCAGCATAAAAAAATATATATCCTATGAGATTCCAATCTGCAGAGTAATCCATAACACAAACTTTTGCTCTATCATTTAGATCTGTGATGTATGAGTGGAAAAGGGATGCTCACACTGGGAGTGGGACAGACAGAAATGTTTGAGACCCACTACACTAAATGTGGAAATTTACAAAGCTCACCAAAGAAAAGTTTTTAAGTTAAAGCATTTATATAATCAGGAATAAAGTTAATTTTTAAAAAGCATTACATATTGAGGAGGAGTTATAAATTCCTCTAACTTCAACATCTGCTTCAAGTAGAATAGTAAATGAATTACTCTATTTAACAAGTAGACTCTTAAGATGAATTTCAAGGCACATTTTTAGTGCAGCATAAGCTGTAAGTCTTAAGAAAGTAAAGGTTATCTCCAAGGACCAAGGAAGAGGAGAGACTGAAACAACAACACTTAACCAAACAGTGAGTGGGAGCAGATAGCAGTAAGGAAACTTCAAAGCCAGAACTGGCCTGTAGGGGAACACCTACAAGGTTCTTGAATCTGTACATCTAAGCCTTGGGCTTAGTGCCTGGTGAAGAGCTGTATCTGAGGCTCTATCTCAATGTGGATTACAAAGGAGCTAATGGTATCTCAGGTTCCTTATAGGCCTTAACCCCTGATGTAAAAAGCAAGTTCTCACCAAATAGAAGAAAACATCAAAAGGCATTGCTGTGTGTTATTTTTCTAAGAAATACATTGAATCTATAATCCACTGAACATTTACAAGCACCAGAACTTTCTGTCATTATCTTATATAATACCACACATACAAAGTCTTTGAAATGGGAACAATTATTATTCCCTTTGTAAAGGTGAGAAAACTGAAGCACAGACGGTTTAAGTAACATACACAAACACACAATGAGGAGTAACTGGTAGAGGTGAATTTAAACACAGCTGGCCTAATTATAAGCAATATTCTTAACCACCACCTTATTCTGCTTCTTGGACTTAAGCAAATAATAATATACATATAATTTATTTATAAAGGTCATCTAGCCTCTTAACAGTCCAATTGAGCTCTGAATCCAGGAACCTTGGTTCTTTTAAAAAAAAAATTCACTTATTAGAGTAAAAAAATGCTGAATGACTTATAAACTAGTTCATTGCTTTATGATTTTCCATGACATTTGTAGAACAGAACAAAATGATGCAAAAATATAAAGAAAAAAGAAAGGTATAATAAAAGGTATACTAAACACTCTTTTTTAAAAAGCCAGTATAGCAATATTAATCCAGAGACAAAAAAGGACCACTTCTTTGTGACCATGTGCCAAGAAGGAATAACTATGATGTCCCTAAATAATACAGCCTGGAAAAATACCAAGAAAAAGTTGTACTTCTAAACTTCTGCTCAAAATCACCTCACTACTCTGCTTCCCATACACTGATGTTCTATTGACCCACCCATCAGTTCCCTGAGGGAATTTCCATCCCAATCTTATACAGCCGATGCCTAGAGAAAAGGCAAATATATCTGCATAAGGAGAGAGCTTCTGGTAGACAGGAGACCAAGACCCTCCACACCTACTAGAATGATGAAGTTAAGAAAATGTGTTCCAGGAGGAGCCTAGTAGAAAGGATATAAAACAGCAGGTGGTGGTTAAGGGCTCTGGACTCCCACATGGCTTAACCATGGTTCAAGTCCTGGGCCTGGTGACTAGCTTTCTCACTTACGCCCCCCACCCCCAGTCAAATTGGAAAGTAATAATAATAAAATTAAATAATTCTGTAAAAAAAAAAAAAATAAGACCTCTGAAATAAATAAAATGTGTACTCTTGGGAAAGAAATCACTTAGGCCAGTGACCTGCACTCAACCCCAGAGAGCTCCTGGAGAAGATTTAATACAAGAACACAAGGTGACTGCAGGAGGTGCCTCAGGACTGGCTGGTGTGAGCTACATGGGAACAGTAACACAGTTTGGGAGTATGACCCCAAATAGCTGCAATCTGATGCGGTAGGCAGAGTCTGGGCCTCCTTTCCCCCACCCAGCCTACCTTCCCAAGACAATGTACATGTCCCCAGAACCTTCACAGATATTGGTCTTTTTTTCATTTTCTATCATCTACTATCCTTTTGTTTATGGTAAAAGGAACTTTGCTGATGTGATTAAGGTTTAAAACCTCAAAATGGGAAAATTATCTTGGACTATCTGGATGGACCCAATCTAATCATCTGAGTCCTTAATAGCATAGGAGAAAGGCAAAAGATTCCATCACAGAAATGTAGAAAACACTCAAGAAAGATGAGCTAAAGGTGAAACAGAGCAAGAACCCCCTAATGTATTTTCTA